TGGAATTTTGATCGTGACATTATCCCCATAGGTATTCTATTTGCTATATGATATGTGTTATGGTATCTACATTCGTATGAGGTGACGAGGGTCCTTGCGCATGCTAGATTTTTAATATGACGGAGTAGACTTAGACTTATCACATTCTTTAGTTGTACTACTTGAGTTAATCTTGCCTATTAAAATTATTTAACTCTTGGCATGCTACTTGATTAGTCGCGAAAATTATACCTTCTCCTATGGATTTAATCCTATGTCGTACTCATTTGTTTGGAAGTTTCGTGATTATTCAACTCGTAAGTATATTCGCAAGTTGGGCCAGTGAGCCGTTGAAATCTTTATTACACTTATAGGATCGGGTCGTTCGCCTCGGTAGAATTATGTATAACTATTCTTATGAGATCGAGTTGATTGTTTCATCACCACTCTTATGGGATCGGGTCGTTCTCTTTGATAGGATTATGTAACACTACTCTTATGGAATCAGGTCGTTCCCCTCTACAAGATTATTTAACATTATTCTTATGGGATAGAGCTGATCGCCTTATTAGCACTGTTATAGGATCGGCTAATTCTCCTAGACAGTATTATGTAATACCATTCTTATGGGATCGGGTCATTTGCCTCGGCATGATTATGTAACACTACTCCTATGGAATCAGAGTGTTCGGCTCGGCAGGATTATGTAAAATTACTCTTATGGTATTGGATATTCACCTCGGCAGAATTGTATGGAATACTTCGATAAGGAGTCAATGTGCATATAAGCGTCTTGACTTGGATTTGGTATTTGTACCTAATATTGGTCACATATATTCCATTGGAGACAGTAACTGTTATTTGACAATTTCGTATTTATTCTTCTATTGAAGGGCATGTAATACATATTTATCCATTTCGTTGCTACTTGTCATGCATCATACCTGTCTATTTTCTTATGTAAATTTGGTTATTGGACCACTATTAAATGTTGATGTTGACCCCTCGCTATTATTTCTTCGAGGTTAGACTGGATACTTACTGGATATTTGTTAATTTACATACTCATACAATACTTTTGCATAAGTTGTGCAGGTACTGAGACAAGTATAACTGGTGGACATACAGGTGTGTAGGCACAACTGTTGAGGAGACTTTGTGGTGAGCTGCTTTCTAAGCTACAATCCGTAGTACACGGAGTTCCCTTCCTAGTTATTAATGGTATTTAGTCTGTTTTCTATTCTAGACATTTGTTGTAGTAATAGTATATATTCCAGTAGATGCTCATCCACTTGTGACATTGGGTTTTGGAGACTTTATACCATTGTTCATAGTTGTATTTCTATTATAAAACTTGATTTTATATTTCGATCATTTTCAAATCTTGAAAATGATGTCAGTATTTTACTATGAAAATGAAACGATTCCGCTTATTTATTTCATTATTTATTTTAGAAAATATTACTCCCTCCGTTTCATATTAAATGAGGTACTTTGCTTTTTAGTCTGTTCCAAAATAAATGACACATTTCTAAATTTGGAAATAATTCAACTTTAAACTCCTCATTTTACCCATTTTACCCTTAATGAGAATCTTTTATAACTACACAAAAGTCATGGCCCCACAAAGCTTTACCCCTTAAGCTTTTAAGACCACAAATTTCAAAAGTCTTTCTTTTTTTCCTTAAACTCTATACCGAGTCAAACTACCTCATTTAATTTGAAACGGAGGGAGTATGAACTATCGATCGTTGTGTTGATTTACTCTGACTTGCCTGACGGCAGCGTTGAGCGTCATCACGGCCTATGGTGAAAATTAGGCCGTGACATGTTATCCGACAAACATTCGATTCAAAATGTTAAACTAATACGTGAGAGATGCCTATGACATTATACTAGCATGAGCGAATGCATAACTAGCCATGGCTCAACGATTAACAAGTTAAGCATGAATAGCTAAATCAAGATATACCCTTTATAAGCATATATATTAACCATAAAATCACATATATACTTGTCATCTTATACATATGGTTATACCCATATGCATAGTATACGCCAAACAAGTCAATTGAAGACCTTATTGAGGTCTAACTCTTAATTTACCTTGGTCCAAGAAACCTTCAACCTTCTAGAACATTCTTTTCTCGGTCTAAATATATCAATTGAAACCTTCAATGATGTCAAATAATGCTATCGAACTATCAATTGAATGATTAAAGTCTAGGTTTAGGTTAAAAAGAATCTAAAAGTCAAACCCAAGTCCACATTGTCAACCTCCAAACCAAAATCAAATTCTGGTGATCCATAACCTCACAAGTCCAAATCTACGCTTAGACTTTCATTTCAAGTCCATTTGGAAGATCAAAAGTCATTTTAGGTGGTTTTAGATCTAGGTCTCAAAATTTACAATTTTCACCTCGAATCCATGTTTAAATTATAGATCTTAGGTTGGATTCATGAAATAGATTTAGATCCAAGTTAGAAACACTTACCCTAAGTTTATAGATGAAGGTTTAGGTCAAAACTCTCCCAAACCAAGCCCTCAAGTCTCCGAAACGGTGAAGAATAATATAAAATCACAAAACCTGGATATTTACACTAAAATAGGAAAAATTGTAGTGATGTTGCAAAGGACCATTGCTGGCTGCACTAGCTAGGCCTTTTGCGCCCACATTGAGGTCCAAACTAACACAACTTAAGAAACACCCTGGAGTTATGGCTGTCGAACGGGACGGGCCGGCCCGTCCCGTCCCGGTCCCGTCCCGTCCCGTCCCGCTTCAAGTTAAATGGGATGGGCCAATGTTAAACGGGACACGGGATGGGACGGGACGGCCATTTCGTCCCGTTTGCCCCGTCCCGTTTCGTCCCGTCCCGTACCGCGTCCCGCCAGTATTTTTTTATTTTTATTTTTAAAAACTAGCCGTTGGGCAACGGCTTAAATGGCAAAAATAGTCGTTGCCAATGGTTCAAATAGCCCCTACACCCCCTCCCCCCAAAAACAGCCCCTACCCCCCCTCCCCAAACTTTTAATATAATCCCTAAGTTTATTAAATTACACTTTGGCCCTATTTTCTACTATAAATACCCCCCATTCTTCTTCATTTTTTTCCACAAAAAATCAATCTTCTCTCTCAAATCTCTTACATTCTAATATTCTATCTATATTCTATATTATTCTCTCAATTTTGTTACTATCAAGTATCAAGTATCAAGTGATATCTTTCAAGTATTTGGGCAAATTTTTTGGAGCAACTTTCAAGCTTCAAATTAATTCGTCAAGTATTTGGAGCAATATTTCTGGTAATTTCTTCAAGTTTCAATATTTAATCACGGTGCACTCGTTCCATCTCCTAATTTTAATATATAATTTTTGCGTATCATTTTAGTGCTTAATTTTTGTGTTTACTTTACGTGTTATATTTTCGTATTTCATTTGTGTGTTTAATATTTGTGTTAGCTTTTTTAATTTTGTTTCGTATTTAAATTATGGCACCTAAAAATGTATTTGGTATTTTTAAAAAAAGTAGTAAAAAAAGTAGTAAAGGTGAAAGTAGTAGTAATCCTAATCCTAACCCTTCTCCTAGACCTCCTAGAGTTAGAAAGCATATTGATGAAATGACTCATGTTGATGAAACTTCATTTTCCCAACCCCCCACATTTTATGATGTTCATGTCGGAGAACAATTAGATCATGAAACTTTACAAAGACAATTTGGCAATGATATTTTTTTTGAGGATGAAGAGAATGAGGATGAAGAAAATGAGGAAGAAGAATTAGATGAAACACCCACTAGTCCCGCAACACAAGCTCCAACTCAGAGTCAATCTCAGTCTGGAGCTTTACCCCCTGTACCCCCTGTAAGGGGTAAGCCTAAGGTTGAACGTCCCAAAACATCACTTGTATGGAAATTTTTTAAACATGATAAAGTCAATCATCGTGCTATCTGTGAAAAATGTAAGCAACAATTTGCACACTCAATAAGTGGTGGGACGGGGGGTTTAACTAGACACTTAAGAAGTGCTCACAAAGATTTATGGATACAAGCTAACATAGAAGCCGGAAAAATTATAGATCCTACCATCAGTTCTGGCACTCCTAGTGGATCTGGTTCTAATCAAATTCAACAACAACTTGACCCTGCTTCTGGTCATGTTTTACGCAAATATAACAAAGATAGAGATCGTGAGAACTTAGCAAAAATGGTGGCTGTCTGTGGCTTACCTTTTACTTTTCCTTCTCACCCTGCTTTTGTGCATTATATACAAGAAACTTATAGCCCTGCTTTTCAAGGTTTTCTTAAGACCACGGTTAGAAATGATGTTTTTATATTTCAAACTGAATATCTTCAGTATATTCGTTGTGTATTTTTTCACTTAGATTGTAAAGTGTCTATCACATCTGATATAGGTCATAGTCCTAATGGTTGTGATTATTTAACTGTTACATGTCATTGGGTTGATCATCACTGGAACTTGCAAAAACGTATGGAGCTCATGGAACATCAATCAACATTGCCAATTCCAGTAGAATGTCCAAGAGATATTATTGATAAGTTACAAAGAAGCTATATATGAGCTTACAAATATTAGTATGATAATTTATAATTGGCTACTAAGAGTCCTAGTTCAAACAGAACCCTTCCTAGAAGGTGGCTGCGTAGATTATGTGCTCTTCAAAAGAATTATATTTGTATTTGAGATTTGAAAGTTCTATTAATAAAATAAAAGGCTCTAAGCGATGAATTATTTTTATGAATTGTCTTAGTTACTTAATAGTTAATACTTTGAAATTATATTAAATAAATTATAACTTTATTATAAATTTATATTTACTAGAATATTTCATTACAAGTCTTTTGTTTTAATATTTTATAATTCTTTACTTAGTTTTCTAATTTTCGTTTTAACATAGTAACATTTAAGTTTAAAATAAGTCAAAAAAACGCAAATAACCGCTCTGGCGATTTACAGTTACGTTTGGCGCACAATAGCAAAGACCGCGATTGTCACCGGAGTAAATGGCACGTCGCCGGAAAACGTTGCATGGCCCTGATCCGCAGAAGGAGAAGTTAATTACTCCAGATAATGGTATTCAAAAGGAATTATCTCCGCTAACTTTTGGTAATTTTCTACCACAGAAGTTTCAATCGATTGAGGAAGGAGATGAATTAAGCAGCTCAGAGGATGAATCTCAATTAAAGGCAGTGAAAATGGAAGAGCAATTGAACTCAACGGTAAGGCAACTCCAGTATTCAGAAGCTAGTGGATCGAGAAAGCCCACGCCTACAGCAGCTGATGTTGTTCGTGGAAATCGCAGCTTACAAATGGGTAAATCACTTTCATATGTGCCTCCAGTTGATAGAGAAGGTAAGAAAGTGGTTAAACTATGTGCGGATGATCTGAAAGCACAAGAGGAATATTGGAAAACTGCTTTGATAGGGTATGTGATTGGGGAAAATCCGTATGAAAAGGCTATGGAGAATTATATGCTTAATGTGTGGAATTTTGTAACAAAGCCTAAGATCCTTATGCATGCTGAGGGGTATTGTATTTTTCGATTCAATTCCACAGCGGACAGGGATCTAGTGCTGCAATCTGGACCCTACACATTTCGAAACAAGCCTGTGGTACTTAGAATCTGGGAAATTGACTTCACGTTCAACAAAGATGTGCTAAGCACAATTCCAGTGTGGGTGAGGTTCCCAGGGCTGCCGGTGGGATTTTGGTCTACTGAAGCACTTAGTAAAATGGCTAGTGCTATTGGTAAGCCATTATACACTGATCGATTTACTGCTCACTATGAGAAAATCTCCTATGCTAGAGTATTAGTAGAAGTGGATGATGCTCATATGCTCCCTGACCAAATTGAAGTGGAAACTCCTTATGGCCAAATGACTCAAGACATTGAGTATGATTGGAAACCTACCTTCTGCAATGAATGTCTAAGATTTGGACATGACTCAATGGATTGCTGGTATAATATGAAAGAGGAGAAGAAGCAGGAGCAAGGGGAAGAATCTGAAGGAGAGAATAAGGGGGAAAGGCAGAGAAAAAGGAAAAAGAGGCAGGGGAAGATCATAAAACAAACCTGGGTTGTAAAGCAGAACCAAGTGAATGAAGAGAATCAACCAAAAGAAGACACAGTGGAAGTACTACAATGTATGAGCAGGAAAACAGAAAACACAGGAGGAAATGTACTACCTAGAGGTGATGAAAGGAAGAAAAGCAGCATAGCTGTCAATGTGATCATGAATTCAGGAATGGAGGGACAGAGTGAAAAAGAAAAATCTGAAGCTGACTACATTCAGAAGGAGAGAAGTGGTCATCAAGCTGAGCCTAGACCACCTGATCCTTTAAAATCCAAATGATAATTGCTACATGGAACATTAGAGGGCTGAATCAAGCCCTCAAGCAAAAGGAGGTGAGAGCTCTTATTGCTAAAAATAAAATAGATATTATGGGTTGTATTGAAACTAGAGTAAAAGAACATAAGTCAAAAAAAGTGCAGGAGAAAATAGCAAAAGGATGGAATGTATGCTGCAATTACCAATATGCTGTGAATGGTAGAATATGGATCTTTTGGAGAAACACTGTACAAATGCAGGTGTGCCACATGTCAGATCAATACATTCACTGCATTGTGGAGGATGCTAGTACACAGTTTAAAACTCATCTTAGTGTCATCTATGCTCAAAATGATGGCAAAAAGAGAGAAAAGCTGTGGAATGACTTGAGACATATCAGTATACCAGACAAGGAGACTTGGATATTATCTGGTGACTTCAATAATGTCCTAAGTTCTGATGATAGGATTGGATCACCAGTAACAATTGCTGAAGTTAAGGGATTCAAAGAAATGATTGAAGACTTGCAATTGACACCAGTGAGAGCAACAGGATGGCATTATACATGGACCAATAAGCAAGATGATGGAAGCAGAGTTTATAGCAAGATTGATTGGGCCCTGGGGAACTACCAGTGGATACAACAGTATGGCCATGTAGAAGCAGACTACATGAATCCCTTAGTCTCTGACCACTCCCCTATCCTTATAAAATGTGGAAAGGCTAAGCCTCTCCACCCTAAGCCATTCAGATTCTATGAAAATGTTATCGAACACCCTCAGTTTAGCAATGTGATAGAGAAAGTATGGGAGCAGAAATATGATGGTGAGCCTATGCAAAGAGTATGGGGGAAACTGAAGGAAATGAAGGAACAATTGAGGGGCATAAATGCATACATGGGATCCTATAAGCAGAAGCTGGAAAAAGAGAAGGAAAAATTAGAGATTGTTCAAAGCCAACTGAAAAGCAGGCCTATGGACACAATGCTGATAGAGGAGGAAAGACAAACATTAGAACAAATAGAGAAATGGAGCAACATAGAGGAACAAGTGATCAGACAGAAAGCAAGAGCACTTTGGATTGAATGTGGTGATGCTAACACTAGGTATTTCCATGCTCAATGGAAAATCAGATCTAGCCAGAACAACATCACATCCATATACACTGACACAGGTATGAAGATAACAGATGCAAAGCTAGTTGAAGAAGAATTTATAAAGGTGTTTCAAACTTTAATGGGGGACTGTGCCCCTGAACTACAATGTGCTAATACAGAAGTTATAAAAGAGGGACCTTGTTTAACATTGGAACAACAAAGATTACTAATTCAGCCTGTGACAAATGAAGAGATAATAGAAGCTATTAAGGACATGCCAAAGGACAAAGCACCAGGGGTTGATGGGTTTCCTGTGGAGTTCTTCACAAGAAACTGGGAAATAGTGAAGAAAGATATATTTGAAGCAGTGCAGAACTTCTTTAAAACTAACAGACTACCCCAGATGATCAACACAATAGCCATTGCTCTAGTGCCAAAAGTAAAAATTCCAGCAACAGTCAAAGACTACAGACCTATAGCTTGTTGTACTACTTTGTATAAGATCATATCAAAGGTACTCACAAGAAGAATCAAAGGAGTGCTGAATGGTTTGATAGATCAAGCTCAGTCTGCATTTATAGAAGGTAGAAGCATAGTGGATAACATCTTGCTAAGTCATGAGTTGTTCAAAGGATATACTAGAAAAGGAGTATCACCAAGATGTGTGATGAAAATAGATTTGAGAAAAGCATATGATACATTGGAGTGGAGTTTCCTGAAGCAAATTCTGATAGATATGGGATTTCCTTGCAAATTTATCACCTGGATAATGGCTTGTATAACCACAGTCTCCTACTCACTGTTACTAAATGGAGGATTGACTAAACCCTTTAAAGGGAAAAGAGGGATTAGGCAGGGGATCCTATGTCCCCTTACTTGTTTGTTATAGCAATGGAATACTTGAGTAGGGAGCTGAAGCAACTGTACAGGAATGGAGACTTCAACTTTCACCCTAAATGTAGAAAAATGAATAGTACACATGTATGCTTTGCAGATGACTTACTGATATACTGTCGAGCTGATATGACTTCTATTCAACTTCTGAATGAAGCATTTCAGAGATTTTCCAAAGCATCTGGATTACAGGCAAACATTAGCAAGAGTGCCATATACATGGCTGGAGTAACTCAGAAGGAGAAGGAAGACATCTGCAGAAACTGGGATACACTGAAGGTAAACTACCATTCAGATATCTAGGAGTGCCACTGGACTCAAAGAAGTTGAGTATAGGACAGTACTTGCCATTGATAGAAAAAATCACAGCAAGGATTACCTGTTGGTCAGCAAAACTATTATCCTATGCTGGGAGATGCCAACTGATAAAATCAGTGCTCTTTGGCATCCAAACATATTGGGCACAGGTGTTCATATTTCCAAAGAAAGTGCTGAAAATGATAGAGACAATATGCAGAACATACCTTTAGACTGGAAATGTAACAGTGTCTAGGAAGGCCCTAATAGCTTGGGCCAATGTGTGCAAACCAATAGTTGCAGGGGGACTGAATATATTAGACATCAAAGTATGGAATAAAGCTGCAGTTACAAAGCATTTGTGGGACCTTAACAGGAAAAAGGATTGTTTGTGGATAAAATGGGTACACAGTTTCTACATAAAGAAGAAGGAACTGGAAACAATGAAGACTCCTAAGGCAGCAGCATGGGTTATCAGGAAGATCTTTGACAGAAGAGAGGAGGTAATGCAGCAGTCACAATTGCAAGGGAATTTAACTCAAAGGCTAACTAGTGTGTGCAGCAATGGAAAATTCAAAATACAGCATTTGTATAAGAAAATGGTGCCAGAATACAGTAAAGTTGCATGGAGAGGAGTAATGCTACATCCAGGTGTGCATCCTAGATTCAGATTTATCCTATGGCTTGCAATGCAAAGAAGATTAGCAACTGTGGATAGATTAATGCAAATAGGCATCAATGTCCCAAATGAATGCACCTTCTGTAAACAAACTCAGGAAACCTTCAACCACCTATATTTTGAATGCATGATCACAAACAGAATATGGGCTAAAATGTGTAAATGGCTGGGGTACACAAGGAAAATAGGAGACTGGGAATGTGAACTGAAGTGGATCAGTACTATAGCAAAAAGCAGGAAAGGATTAAATGGCATCACTTGCTGCATTTTACTATGATGGTTGCAGTGATATGGAGGGAGAGAAATAGCAGCAGATTTGAGCAAAAGAGGAATGATGAACAGAAGGTCTGCAGGGAGATGGTCCAACACATCCATGTACGAGGAAAGAATCACAGTAGATGGAAAGAAGCATTGAAGCAGCTGGATTTTTTTCCTTGATTGTAAATACAGCATATCAAATATAGCATAGTATAGACTTTGTAATTGATAGATGATGTATAGTGGTAGCAGTGAGTCAAAACTGCTACTAGGACTAAATTGTATTCATTTTGAGGAAATAGAAATAT